TACTTGTTCTTCTCAATTTGTATGCTTTTTTTTAATGATTATCTACTGTCGTCATCACTCTTTGTTAAATTCAGGTCTCTCTTGTAAATGAGTCCCCGAGGCTCAATGGGGTTAACCTGTATAAATGAAGGTTGAATGAATCTTTGTAGGAGCAGAGTTCTAGTTTGGAAGCATGTCGCCAAAAATCAAGGATCGCAACATGAAAACCAATAAAAAGAAAAGAAAACTTAAGAAAAGTATGAAAACGAGGAACTGCTGGTGAATTAGCACAAAAATGCATGGCTCAATTACTTTATTAGGTAAGGAGTGTGTCAAGTGTGTTAAAACAAGGGGAAAATGTTGCCAGAATCCTGCTGCGGTTGCAAGGGTTAGCTGACGAAAGCTCTTGCAGTGCCAGGTAACACTGAAGCGGAGCATTTCCACATAGACCATCACAGCAGGTGCACAGGTAGTAAGATCAGCAAAGAAGGAAAACAGCGATAAGATCAAGGCTTAAAGATGCCCCGGCTCAGACAAAATGGAGCTTGGAAAAGACCGATTAGACTAGATTCTCTTGTTTCTGTTGTCAAGCTTACCTTCCTTTACTTTTCTTATAGGGAGTAAGAATTATGCCCATCCCATTCTTTATTAATGTGTGTCCTCTAATCACTTTTGGTAATAGTTACACACACACACATATATACACACACACATATATACACACACACAGATGTACATTACTGATTTGTTGGCCCATTTAACTCGTCTTGTGTTCCCCTGTGCTCGTTCATAATCTCTTCTCGTTTCATTTGTAGAGAAGACCTTTTGCTCCTGACCTGCTTTGACTCATTAAAGGCACATCATCTACTATTCCTGCTCCATGAAATTCCCAGTACCTGCATAAACTGACCAGGACCCTATGGAAGAGCACATATTTGCAGCTCCGTTTGCTCAAAGAGATTTTGTTTTTCCTCACTCCAGCTACCGTCTTTTTCTGGTCTATTTTTATTTTCGGCTTAGCTGTTCATTCAGACACGTTCTCCACCACCTCTGGTACTAATTGCAAAATTTACATCCCTAAAAGCCTTGTACATGTGTGGGACTGGGAACCATGATTTAGACTTTAATGTCTTGCAGCCTTGTGTCTGTGTCTCATTATATTCCATGTCCACTGTCTTATATTTGCCTTTTTTCTCGCTGTCTCGCTCCAGCTCTGAGCTTCTTCACTGTATTTTCTCTTTCTGTCTGTATTTTTATTCCTTTTTGTATCTTTTATGTTGTCATTCATTGAAGTGCATCTCTTGCAAACCCCTAGCCATCTTTGATCTGTCACATCTTCTTGCTTTCTTTCCACCACAAAGCTCTTTTCTTCAAAATGTTTGCAACATTTCTACAGCCCTTAACGTTATATTTCTTGTAATGTGCTGAATATTATTCTAACATAAAAGTAGTGATGAGATCCCATTGTCATTTTTTTTATTCTTGCGTTATAAAACACTATTTCTCAAGGGGTTATATTTTGTGTCTGTGCATTGTCCTTTTCTGATTTAGTCCGTGCTGTGAAAGATAAATAAGACAATGTTAAAAATGTATACTTTTACCAGGTTAATATGTTTCCTCGCATGTGGGATGTGTTCCAGCCATACATTAGTTGCCAAGTGGGGTGAGTGAGGCGATAATTGTATTTCACTAGGAGAGAGCAGAAACTGTTGGACCCTGAACCACTTTTCTGCAGGACTACATTTCTGTTTCTTCAATATGAATTCAGCTTTACAAAATAAAAATAAAAAACACATTACTTTTTATTATTTGATCATTTCTAAATGTTATGTAAAGCTAAACTCAGCAGAAGCAGTATTTGGTTAAATAGTGACAGAATATAGGACACAGAACAAAATAATGAAAAGTTATCCATTTTACGAGTTGTTTCTATCTATCTATCTATCTATCTATCTATCTATCTATCTATCTATCTATCTATCTATCTATCTATCTATCTATCTA